CGTCTTCCTCTCCGACACCGTCAGCCCGAACTCCCGGAACACCTCCACGATAATGGTCATCATCCTCGCCAGGCCGTCGGCGGACTTCGACACAACGCCGGCATCGTCGGCATATAGCATCCCCCACACCGCCCTCCGGACTCGGTCCAGCAATCCCTCCCCCCTCCGTTCCTCCTCCTTCAAGTACACTAGGTCCCGCACGATAACCTCATCTTGGCTGAACCGTGTGACAATGATCTCGAGAGGCGCTGCGAAGAAGACGTTGAACAGCAGTGGGGACATTGAGCACCCTTGTCGTAATCCCTGCGTGACCGGGAACCAGTCCGATAGCTCCCCATCGTCCGTGCGGACCCGGGCCCGCATTCCGACGTGGAACTTGCGGATGACGGCGATCATCTCCCCGGGGATCCCGGCCCGGGCCAGCACCTTCCACAGTAGCTCCCGGTCCACCGAGTCATATGCCTTCTGCAGATCCCCATGGGAAAATAATCTACACGAGAATGGACCAAATCCATCGCCCCGTCTGAGGACTCCGTGTTTCTCAGCACGCGTTGTAATAAATCAGACCTGGTCGATGGTGTTGTACAATGGATAGGTTATTTCCGATACATGCGTCTCCATGAGCCACTCATGTCTCTGGACGCCAGAGGCACGTCTATCTTTAGCACAGACGGACTTGTGGCGCATAGAGGGAGGTGCGATCGATGTGGAGGACACCTACTACCTGGTCGGAATAGATAACCAACCATTTGTGCACACTCGAAGTGTAGGAAGATATGATTCCTCGGGGAAACTTGCCATCGGGACAAGTGGCAAGTAAAACACCGAGAAGATTTGTCTCGTCCGAAGTCCATGGCCGATTGCCGAGGGAAGAGATGGGAAGCCTTCGGCTCTCCTCTCTCGCCCCTCTGGTCACTCTTTTTCTAACTTCCTCTGCTCGTTACATCTCACGAAAGGAAATAGCCACCCTTGGCAGTGGGAGAATACTGCAAGAGTACCAGCCTCTGTCTCCGACAGGGACTAATAGTAACGTCACAAACTGTCCACGGGAAGAGAAAATAAACATTGTCAGAGAACACGTTTGCAGTATGTATCCAACGGTCCACAGAAAAAAGCATGTAATCACAACGACCACTTGTTGCATATACCTGCAACTGCTGAGCACGATCATGACAGAGTAGTCTAGCAACAAGGAAGGCCGGACGTCAGACAGAGAACAACACATACATATATAGTCTACATCGCATCATGAAACAAAAAAACATTTACTACAAATCTCCAGTGCGCGCTTTCGTCGCCGAGAGAGCGACACCCTACTGCTCCCCTCCCTCTCGGCGGAAGCGCCCGAGGGAGCAGCAGCTTGCGGGACGCGCTGTAACAAGTCCCGCCGCCAGTTTTCACAGACACACCCACAAACACGTGGCGGATGCCAAAACGACCAAAACGACCAAAACGGTGGTGGTACGTCGAAAGGACTGTATCCCAAAACGCAAGAAAAAAAAAACAACCCTCGCCCGTTCAACAAGGGGGCACAGGCAGACCCACCAAACACAGCACACAAAATCGATACATCGCAGAAATATTCGTAGACTGGCGCAACAAAAAATCAATTCGGGGTCACATTCACTCCTAGCCTTACCACCGCCCTTACCGTTGAAACCCTGCTGATGCCTTCGTGCCTATTCAACGACCGGCAGTCATACCCTACTACTGTACCTCCTTCGTATCCCCTCCCGTACCTATGACGAGGCAATGATTCCTTGGCAGGCCGGTCTTCTTGCTGCGTACTCGCATGCCAATCAAAAATCGGTCACCACAACAGTGGTAAGAGCAGCATTTTGATTCCCCTCCCCCCCCCCCCCCCCCCCCCCCCCCCCCCCCCCCCCCCCCCCCCCCCCCCCCCCCCCCCCCCCCCCCCCCCCCCCCCCCCCCCCCCCCCCCCNCACCTTACCAAAATCGAACATCCGGATTTGGGACCCCCAATCTTGAGCAACCACTGCCTTTCTTGGTTTTGGGATCCGACGGACTGTAGCACACGCCGAGAGGTGGCGCTGACTAAACAGCAGAATAGCAGCACAGCAGGTCAGCGGGCCACACGAGGCGGAACACGCCCGCCCACCCTCCTGGTGCCTCTCCCTCCTCTTCCCTCCACCGAGCAAGCACCATCCAAACAAAAAAGAATCCCCCCCCCCCCAGGAAAAAAAAAAGAGAAGAAACGCACGACAACCCCCCTACCATGGAAAGTGCTGGTACCAGCGTTACAACACACACCGTGTTCGACAACGACAACGACAACAACAACAACAACAACAACTACGACAACGCACGTCGTCAGCGAAAACCACTCCGAGCGCCAGCCACCGCCTCGCTTTGCGCCCCCGACTGACCAGGCGTCCAACAACCCTCGTATGACGTGCCGCCAACCCCGCCGGCACCGGCTCCTACCCTTCCTTTAGATACAGCAGCAGTAGAACAAAAAAAAACAAGTATCCTTTGCTTTTGTATCCCTTGCTTTCAAGTCGTCCCGAAAAAAAGCCACACCATAAAAAAAAAAAATGACACCACCCAGAAATAACTTTTCCTATCGAAGCTGAGAGGCCAACGAATGCACACCGAGGGTGATATTTCCCGCTTCGTATTGCGTACGAAGGCGGGCCATCAAGCGCACGCTAAGGCGCATGACCCGGCACTGCATATACATGAGAGTGAACTTGTTCCCCAAGACTAGAAAAATGAACCAAACGTACACCATTTAATGGCACAAACGAAGGCGGGGTTCTGTTTAGGGCACTGGGCACATGCGTTACCAACCACGACTACCGCACGCGCTGCAACTAACACACGCGCACACACAAAGAGCGATGACCTGTTGCGCGGCAACGGACGGCCGGTCAACAAAAACGAGCGCAAGGTCGCGTGAGGGGAGGGGGCGGGGCATGAAGCCATGTAGAGAAGCTCAGGATATTCGCCGCGTTCCCCGACCCAACCCCAGGAGAAAGAAAAAAAAAAATGTATATTTTCCCTGTGTCGTCACTAGCGGTCTCTCCCTACGGTAACAGCCTCCATCTCCACCCACGGCGTGTATGGCGTGTACTTCTGATAACACTACGAAATATAGCTCGCATTTCTGCTGCCCACCGCTGCTGCTGCCGCTGCCGGGATCTACGCAAAAAAAAAAATCAACGGGACAAACGTACATGGCGCAAGAACTGGTCGCACGCCCCTCTCGAATCTATCCCCTTGAGCCTAGTTCCCATTTCTCTCGCCCCTCGTTTGTCATTCGGGACGTCGAGGTGCCCCAGGGGGCACAACAGGTTGTACTTGCCCACGTCTGACATCCACTCGTCGGGCTGGACGTCCAAGGGGTCTAGCGCTCTCCAATGCACCGAATCGGGCATGAATCGCCTGCACGGGGGGCCAAAGGCGGGAGAAGGAGGGACGGGCGCGGTGCCGCAGCAATCGATCGTGGCATCAGTTTCCTTTTCTCCACGGCGTGGTATATTTTCGACCGCAACAACGGCAACTGGTGCGTGCGACGGCCAGCAGCGACGAGGGCATCAACAAAACCCACCGCGGGTTCCCCGATAGAAGCACAACAAACAAGACTCGTCAAACCAACCACCCACGAACACGAGCAAGCAAAGAATGAAATTCACTAGATACTGTTTAAGGATTTCAACCCGTCCTCTTCGACACTGTGGTTTGTATCTCGAAAGGGTACCCCCTCCTTCATGCGAACACACGTATTCTCTCAAAATTTCAACTCAATGCCGGAACCAAAGCATCCGCCGAACACCGCACCACCACCAACGCCGCTCCCCCCCAATCGCCAGACCCACCACATGAACGAGCCCAACAGGCTGGCTTCGAAGGTCCCGCGATGGACGGAGGCTCCCACGGGCGCCCCGTTGTTGCGGACCACCCTCCGGCAGCTGCCGTGCGCCTGCCCCACCAGGTCGTCGACGTCGACGTTGTGCACCTCGCTGGCGAAGATCCTCATCTCCGTGAAGGCCGACGTCGGGTACACCAGCCCCCTGATCAGCGCGAAGTCCCGCACGACTTCCATCTCGATCACGGACTCGATTGCACAGGCGATGTACTTGTCCGTCAGCGAGCCGGCTGCAACCAAGCGCGCGCACCGGGGGGGGGGG